ATTATTTTCATCTGAAAATTTAGTAAAATCTAATATTTCTTCAACTTGTAAATTCTCTCTATTATCATTTGTAAAATTATAATTATTAACCAATTTAATAATCTAGGTTCTCTGAAAATAATAAAAACTTAATCCAACTACTTGAAAACTAATAAAAATAATAAAACAAACGAAGTATACCTACTTTTAGTTCTATAAATCCCTTTTAAACCTTGAAATTACTTTTCTTTTTGTTTAAAATCTAGACTCTAGATCTATAAATGTTATTATGTCACTTGATTTAATTATAAAAACTGATCTAAAAATAATCAAAAAATAGTAGTTAGTACCTGTATACATGAAGAAACAATAAAATAAACATCAGAATACTCCTGTTAACCTTCCTAAACTTTGAAATATCTTATAATTTTAGTTTATTTTTAATCTTACCAATCTATAATAAAAATAGCCAATTTAATAAACTTGTAATTATCAAAATTGAAAAAAAAACTATAATCACTGAAATTAAAAGGAAAAACCTACTATTATTTATGTCAAAACTCAATAAAAATAGATGTTAGTATGTAGACATAAAAAATAGTATTAAAACAAATTTATTTGTTTATTTGGTAGACTTTTATTGTGTGATATTCGCGGGATCCGCAGAAATTTTTTTGTACCACAGATCACCTGACCCAACCATCTATTGTAATAAAAATAACATGGTCATGACACAAATTTTGACCAATCAAATAATTTCGGCAGCCTAAATAATTTCGGCAGCCTAAAATAATAACGGCAGCCGAAAATAATTACGGCAGCCGAAAATAATTACGGCAGCCGAAATTATTTTCGGCATTTTTGGATTTTGAAAGGTAATGCCGAAAATATTTTCGGCTGCCGTAATGCCGTAATGCCGTAATTCTGGCCTAATTTCGGCGCCATCTATACTTCCAATTTATCATCTTTTGAGTTGCCCATTAAGAAGTGTCACAAGGGTGTTTGGAATTACTTCCGCAATGATATCAAGAAAGTATACTTAAATTCCATTAGGCACTGATTTCTGAGATCAAAGTCATTGTGTAAATTTCTAATTTCATCTTCAAGAATCCTTTGATTACCATTTCATGGATAATAATTCTCTTTCAGTTCCACCAATGGATTTATGTCTGTTTGTGAAAACGTAGATACGTTTTCTATCTCTATTGGCGGAATGGATACCGATTAGTTTTGTAAAGTAGGGAATTTCTTTTGTGAAGATTTAATAGTATTAGGATTTCATTGTTAATTAATTTGAATGAATGGACGCTTGAAGTAATTTTTGACAGATATGTGTCACCATCTGATCCTGTTTTTTGTAGCCATTTTTGGATTCAGGTCTCACTGTTTAAACCTTTTAACTGTCATTTTAAATTGAGTAGTCGAGAGTTAGATTGTTCCACGTGGAAATTATTTTAAACTGATTTAATGTACAACTATTGATATTAATTTATAATTTGTGGATCTTGAAAGGAGAGATGCTAAAATACTTGAGCCAAGCGATCCACAATCTCGTTGTATCGATACCCGAGTGGACTTTGACTTTAGTTAAAGAAATTTGTAATTTGAGGTCTTGAATGATTTGTTGAGTTGTAAGGGTTAGTATAACGTTACCGTAACTTATTTTTCCCTTTTTTTTACTTTTTTCCCTGAAAATTGACCAGTATATTGTTAATAGTATTAATTGTCCCTTGACTATATCTAAGAGAATTTCAATTTTACTTTTCCTCGCAATTGCCCAGAATGTGTATTACTAGAAACCTGTTTTTAATAAAATCGTTTAAATCAAATTTCAAACTACAAGCTTAATTTAGATCAATTGTATATTATTGTTATATTACAAAGTTTTAAACCAAGTTAATTAAATATCATTTAATGCTCTTTAAAATTATTTATAATTATTTTAAGTATAAATAATATGGCAAAGAGTATGGAAAATGTGAAGAATGGAGATGAATGATGATGTATCATTATGTAATAGCATAAGGTTTCAAAGCGAATTTAATAAATGGACAAGTTGAAGATACAGAAATTGATGAGTTTGTTCAACGATTTCATGATGTTGAATACCTATCTAAAGGAGGTTGTTTCAAGGCGACATGTGTTGTTTAATACTTCTAGATGTAGATGAAACATTTTACAATATAATTAATCCTGATTAATATTTTAGATAAAAAATCAACTCAAAATTTGAAACTAAAAATCCTGAAAATGAATATGTGATGGTTATGCACTATGCAAAATGTAGTAATCTGTGAAAGTGTTGTTTAAAAAGTTAAAAAGTTATAATTTTATTTTAGGGCTTGCTAAAAATTTATGATGTACAAGATTTTCACTTTGACAAAAGAACTAACGAAAGTATAGTTAATGAAACTAAAATTAGTCCTTATATCACTAATGTGTAAGCCAGTTTCACCAACATAATAAAGAAAAAATTTATGGAGTAACTTCCATTTATGGACATTGAATGAAGAATATTCTCAAGCATCTGACATTTACTCTTTTGGATAACTAGTGAAAACTTCTAACATGATTATAATGAAAAACTTGTATATAAACCTGAAATTATATGTGGGATCACACAATTGCTATGGAAAATGGTTGATTATAATAATGAAAAAAAAAACGGACAAATTAAAAAGAAGTTCACGAGTTAAATAAGAATTTCATTCAATGTGATGTAATTCGAAAAATAACACATCCTCAACAAGTAGACATTTGTCTTTTCTAAAACCCAAAGAAAGTTGAAACTATTATATATAAGTATATATTTTTCAAGTAGTAAACAATTGTTTTTATAAAATATTTACATAAATTATTATTCTAGATACAAAACAACGAAATCTTAAATTCCGAAGATATACAGTAAATAAGTATTGAATTTCTAAGATGTTTAAGAAGATAATTAACATTAATTAGTTGGGATTTATTTTCTGCTTTGTCTTTGATATTATGTATTTTATTTAATATCAACCACAGATATTTTAATCAGATACAGCTTTATTTATATTATCTACAGCTTTATTTATATTTATACTTAGCTTTGTATTTAAATTAAAAGAAGATCACTTAAAATTGCTATTATTATTAATGTAGGTGGTTTTTATTTATGCATGATAAATTTATTAAATATTATAGTAATAATTAATAAATACCTGATAATAATAGAAATTAAAGAAAAGATTTATTATAAAGATTCAAGAACCACAATTTATGGATATGTTCAATTGCTTCCAGCTATTTTAATAAGTCCATGTTAAGTTTATATTATCAATCAATCAAATAGAAATAATTCAAGTTCACATTTGTTACATTTGTCAAATTTGTATATCCGCCAAGTATCAAGAGATTATTTTATTGATTATTACATATTATATAAATCTTTTTGAGTGGTTCTTGGCGTAAAATTGAGATACATAAAATTATATCCGTAGTAAAAATTTTAGAATTCAATATAACACAAGGTAGATGCCAAAGAATTTCTTGACTCCAGAAATATGAAAATATCAAATGTGAAGTGAAATATTTCAAAGTGTTACTGTAAAATTTTCATTCGTATATCTTAGTTTTTGTATTTATAATAATAATACCATTAATTTCGATAAATTTTAAAATTATTTTCATTAATTTCTACTTTATTAAGTTCTTGATATAATATTTTGGACATAAAAATATAATTATAATATTCTTTGATAAAAGGAACTTCGCCAATTTATTAATAGTAAAATTATATTTACACAATATCAAATGTTTTTTTTTTATGAAAAATATACAATAATGCGGAAACCACATTATAAACTTTATTCTAATTGATGCACGAAAATCTCGTAAAAGGAAATATTTTTTTTTTTTTAAAAAAAAATAATAAAATCTTCATATTTCACATATTCTACCAATAACTATCCCACATATTATAAAATTATATAAGAATTACCGAACTTGATTTTTTTTTTTTTTTGTTGGTTTGTGTTTGCTCATGATGAAATAAAATTATTATTATTATTATTATTATTCGAAAAATTATTATTATTATCATTATTCGAATAAGAATTGGGACGTTTGGTATTTAAAGAATTTTTATTAATGTGAGATTTTTTATGACTATCAGGAGAAGAGTGATGATGAAAAATTTGATGTTGCCTCGATTTCATTCGTTTAAGTTGTAGTTGAGTATAGCGATAAAGTCGAAGAGCGTAGTCATTTTTTGCTTCTTCGATCATGGCTTCAGTTGGTTCAGGCATAACGGAAGAGAATTGAAAGAGATTTGACATCTTTTACTTAAATAATTCGAAGGTGGATGAAAGGTATAATGAAAAAATAAATTTCGTAAGAGAAAAAAAATCAATTGATGAATAATGTTATGAGAAATTTTTATCCTCAAGATGACACTTCTATTTATACGAAAATTTTTTTTTTGCAATTACACAAAATAATAAAAATACTTTAATATACTTAAACTTAAAACTTTAATATACTTGATTTACTTTAATTTACTATATATAAATTTATATCAATACAAACAAAATACAAAATACATCATGCAAACAAATACATCACGCTATAAATATATGATATCAAATATGTTCAAATATGTTAATATGAAATTTGTAATGTTCATTGTTTGCTGTTTATCATTATTATTGATGCATCACAGCGCAAATCAATGTAAAGTAATTATTTATATATATCCAATCTTTTGTATATGTAATATCTGTAATATCGATATAAATTGATATAAAGTGATATAAAGTTATCGTTATCAAGTTGTTATCGAGATGTTATCGTTAACGTTGTCATGAGAATTTCTCACACTGAAAAAAATGATGCAAAGATATTATAATGGAAAATATTTTTACGTAAATAATAAAGTTAGCTACTTGCTCAATTTTTTTTTTTTTTCTTTGAATGACCTTACATCTTACGTAAAACTTATCTTCTATTCTTGAAAAAAAAAAAAATAAATAAAAATAATGAAAAATATTTCGTTCTAGAACAAGATCTCTATGAATACACAATTATGCAATTATCCTAAAAAATTCTTAAAAATTCTAGTTTCTTTGTCCTCAACTTTTATTTAATATACGAACACAAAGCCACAAAGTAATGATGTTAGATATACGTTATTTAGGATTTAAACGGTTATTTGATTATATAGATATCAGATAACACTTTACTCTAATTTTATATTTCATCCAAATTTAACAAATTTTTTTTGTGGGGGAAGGATATCAATATGGCAATATTTATAATAAGAATTTTAGATAATAAACTCGTTTATTAAAAGGAGATTATTTTATCTTCGAATTAACAAAAAAAAAATTTTTTTTTTCTTCTCTTCTTGTGAATTTTTTTTTCCGCTCTTATTATTTGTATGATCAACTATTTACTGAACCAAATTGTGACATCATAAAAAAGTCCTTTTTTTAGTTTCTTTTAACACCTGAAATAGAAATATCTTGATTTAAACAAAATAATAAATTATGACGTCTTTCCCAACAATAGATGTTATTCCTGTTACGCCACGCTAAAAAGACTGCAAGGTTCATTTACTTTTATCATCATAAATTTAAAAATTATATCAGTATTAAAGAAATCACATCGTATGATTGATACAATTATACAATTAGGAGCTTTTTCATCACCTAATGTTAAACGTTTAATCTTTTAATAATATGGCGTCATTTTAAAAAATATTGATTATAAATCACTAAATAAAATATTTAACTATTCTCGGGTAGAATATAAAACGTTTCAAATGTCAATAAATTATCGTCATCTTGCATTAGTAACAACATATTTCCCTATTTCGTCCTTTCGTAATGACGTAATTAAATGTCGTACGAAAATTTTCACAAAACTGGTGAAATAAACATTCGTCCATTTTTAATTATTTCGGAATTTATCGAAGAACGAATTAAATTTTTGGATCTAGTTGAGACATATAGTTTGACAAATGCTTTTTATGAACTAATCTTTTAACAAATTATATCATTGATATTGTCTTGACTATATTTAAATACATTGAATAAAGGCCATAATAAAACCAATACAAAATTGCTACTTGAAATAACAACTCAAATTAATACATAAAATAATACTAGAACAAGAACTCTAGAATATAACTAACTTAATCAAAGGCTTTAATAATAAAATCAAATGCGTACCATACATATATAGAAACAACTAAACCATATGTAAATGATGAAAATAAGTGTAAAATCCCTTTTCCACGTATAAAATCTTGAATACTTACTCGATAATAAAGTTACTTCTTGTCTTTTATTTTATTTTATTTTTTTTGAAAACATACAATTCCAGGAATCCTTCTTTGATAGAAACTACGAACACTTTGGCACTGGTAAATGAAGAGGCATCACGAAGATACTAGTAACACAGCTAGAAAATACTTTGGCACTCATGAAGGCAATATATACAAGCATATACAAGTACATACAAGTATATATTGCAAAAAAAAGGCTAACCTATCCGCAAACTAGCTTTACAGCCAGCCAACTCAATGAGTAATCATTGCACTTCTTACATGCAACAGGCATCAAGGCATCCCAGTTCCTCCTCACTTTGGCACTCATATCTTCATTGTGCTAAAAGTATAGTCAAGATCCTAAGCATCACATGGGCACTCATGTTACGTAGTAACGGATGAGAATACTGTTAGCACAAATAGAAAATACTTTGGCACTCATGAAGACAATATACACAAGTATATATTGCTCCACTTTGGCACTCATATATTCATTGCACGAACAGTATGCCAATGGGCCTAAGCACAGGCACTCGTATGTAGTGTTGGATATAGAAAAGAAAGAGAAGAATTAGACAACGGATGATAATAAAGGAAAAAAAAAAAAACAAAAAAAATAAATAGAATGAATTACTTACTTTTTAGTTATTTATGAAATCATGAATTATAGTAAATGAAAAAGAAAGGTATAACTATAAGAAAAGAGAAATTATAATGTTATAAAACTTAAAAAATGAAAAAAAAAAATAAAAGTGGGAAAGGGAAAAATAATAAAGAATCATAATTTATCATTAAAAAAAAAAGAAAAGTTGTAAAAAAAAATGAAGGAAAAAAAGTGTTTATATGAGTCATAATTAAATGTCTGCACTTTTCGCCTTAAACAGAATTGAAACCATCCTCCCAACCATTCTCAGCTGGCCATTATTTAATCTCAACTGATTGTTTTTTTGGCAAACCTTTATCAAAGTCCCTTCCAATACTTTGCAGAAATGAAAGCGTAATTTTTTAGTAGAACATATATTCTCACTACCATAGAAAAGAATTTCTACTGTAATCTGTGGTTCTCCAAATTCATTGCTTGGCCCAACATTTTGTGGGTATTTGTCCTGTTAAAAAAAAAATTGGTTGAGTCAGAGAAAATAATAACTTGCCAAACAGTTAATAATATACAAACCCAATCACAACCATATTAATATTTTTCCTGTTTCGCTTCTTAATTACAAATTCAGGTTTTGAGGTTTATCTTTGTAATTTGCATAGTGGTTGATTTCTTGATTTCGAATGTGCTTATACCAGATGACCATTGAGCACGACATCAAGATTTTTTTCAAGCTTTCCAACCTCAAACATTGACTTTCATAGTATTTCAGTATTGATATAAGGGAGAACATACTGATCCAGAAATTTAATGACTAGATAGTAATATTAAATTATAAGTATTAAGCTCATTATAAAATAACGGAGCTTTTACCTTCAAAATCATCAGGTATGACTTCACTCTCACAGGAAGCTGGTGTGAAGGTCGCTCTTAATGCCTTCATTTTCTTCTGTTGCGAATGCAAATGCAAAAAAGGGAGATCCTTTATACCATAGTTGGAATGAGAACCGGAATTACATCTTCAAGGAACAGAAGAGCTCGAACTCTCAGTTCCAGTTTCAGTATTTTTCGTTTCCCTAAGTTTATGAATTTTTTGAAGTTTTTGATGGTTCAGGAAGAGTTTAATTTATAATCGCGAATACAGATTATCGTATATATCACGTAAAGCCAATGTTGTACGAGAATAATTAACGGTAGTGACATCACAAATTACTAATAAATGTGGGCAAATTTTCCCGCAATTCACATGATTACCGTTTAATTATTGCGTAAATTTAATTTTGCTGACTCAATTAATTACGTTTAATTGTTCAATTCATAATTGAAAATGCGACATGAATAATTACTATATTATTACCACATCTTTTCATGTGACTGATCATTAAATAAGAGAAAAATCTTATTAGCTCTTACTTAAATGAGTAATTTTAGTTATAGGGAGTGGTCATTAGTTGTTGAAAATTCATTCTTACAATTTAAGTGGACAAAAATACATATACGGAAGAAGATATCAACCAGATTATATCGAAGGAATATTACTTGGCATACAGAAACGGTGATACCTCAACCCAAACGTTGTAGAAGTGACAAATACGGTTGTTTTGTTATTCAACAGTAATCAAGTTTTTCGTGTGGTCATAGGTGAAAGTGGACTTTTTATATTACATCAGCACGTCGATACTGGAATAGAAATGTCTACTAATCCTATTATGTAAACTAATTGTCTTGAAAAAAATTAAACCGAAAAAGAAAGTACGAAATTTAAATTAAGTTTGGAGGATTCGACTTATTTTCTTATTATTTACATCTGGTCATGAATATTTATCAGAATAAAAAAAGAATTTCCGACAAAACATAATAAGCATTATCCTGATTATAAAAAAGAATTTTCGACAAAACATAATGAGCATTGTCTTGATCATAAAGACAGGTTTTGCAATATTTTTTATTTAAATTTTATATTAAATCTGAAGTTTGACATTTTTTTTAACATAGTATGTATTTAAGGTTTATTGCGGGTCCACATACTACGATGATTCTGATGCGCTTATAGTAAATTTTACGGAAGAATCAAATGAAATTTGTGATGAAGCTACTGGTTACCTTCTTGTCTGTTACAATAATATTGACAAAATTATGTCAATTCGTATAGATTCACCATCAAAACATATTTGAGGGATAACAAATGAGAAACCATCTTTTGCACTTAATTCAACATATGACGAGGGACATGATTTATTCAAAATTAGCTTTGCAGATTCTGTTTCCACTACGTTTCAAAAAACCGAGGGAAATTGATAACGAAGGAAAGCTCGTCGCATTGTTGTTTTTATGATGCTAGTAATAGATGGCAAACATCATTTCAAAATAAGAGCACAGAATAGCAAAAAGATAAAAATTTTATTTGTTAAAAAAATTTGCTGATATACAATGATGAAAAATGTATATTATGTACCTTTAATCTGTAATGATGAAATAAGCAATGCATACGTAATTAAACTTTCATGAAGCATTTATTAGTATGATTTCCAATGCATTTAAAGTTTTAATGAGACCCAATTCTCTAAGATGCTCCGGAATAACTACATATAGGTCTTCGTAATACCAAACATATCTTGGGACAATTCAGATTTCTTCGCACAATTCTTTCTTGAGTTGATCCCGTACTTGCTGTTTGATAAAATGATTAGGGTCTCCTCTATGAAAGAATTTGTTATATTTTTCATGTTGTTCTCCCTGCGCCTCGATTGCAAAACCATATTCGGGATAAAATATATTGAGTTCTAATATTCTGGCGTTTTGAGAAGATACTTTGATACATTTTCACGACACAAATTTTCACGTTTATATTTTGAGCAATAAGGACACCACATACCTATAATTTTTATACTAAAAAGTGGTGCGTTCCATAAATGCCCGTTATCATATTTCCATAACAAATTTGAACGGGTATTGATATAATCTTTAGAAAGACATTCTCTAAAGCTATTTGTTTAGCAACTCCAAGAGTATGTCGAACATTACCTACACAATATGGACACCATGCACCCTGGTTTTTTATTTTACTGAAAGGGGCATATCATTCATGCCCTTTAGCACAACTCCATAGTAAATCAGTTTCAAGATTTTTATATTTGGTTGAAAGGCATTTTCCATTTCTACTATGCGTAATTTGATTAGCAATTTCAAGGGTATGAGGAATTACATTAGCACAATGTGGACAGCTTTTATGCTATTAAGTGTTGAATTCCATTTATATCTTATAATGCATTGCTATTGCATTGGAACATTGGAATTTTTATATTCGGTTGAAATGCACTCTCCACTTCTATTACGAGCTATTTGTTTAACAATTTCAAAACTAAGAGTTTTTATGTGTCTACAATCTGGACACCACATACCTTGATTTTTTATCCTATTAAAGTTGCCTTTATCACAGCGCTAAAATAATGGTAATTTGTTATTAATATATTTTTTGAAAGACATTCGCCATTCTAACTCTTTAGCAAATGAAATATTGAGTCAAGTATCAGAACAAATGGAATACCACGCCTTAAGGATTTTTACACTGTGAAAGTTAGTAGTCCACTCATGTCCTTTTGCGCATTTCCATCTTAACGGAATATTGAAATTAACATAATTATCAGAAAGGCATTGACCATCTCGACTTTCAGAAATTTTACAAGCATTATATAGAGAATATTTGATTTAGAATGTCATTAGCGTGAGTTAAAATATTTTTAAATAATAAGTTAGATCTTTAAATATTTGACTGAACAAGAGCATTACAAAATATTCGAGCTGAAATGTGACAGGTTAGTAATACATACATAATATATTTGTTATTCGATTTATTTGATCTATTTATTTATATAACGTTTCGATGTCCCTTGAAAGGCTGGTATCTTTTTTATTTTTGCTCTAATATATATTAAAAAAATAAATATAAATCTCTTTACTTCATTTCAGATATTGAGTATTACAGTTTACATAAATTAGAAGAATTATCACCAAAAAACAGAATCCCTATGTTCCGAAGCAACATTTTTGACTTCTTACTACAGATCCGGAAAAACGAGTATGGAAGTAAGATCCAAAAATATTTCCATATTTATAAAAACATTTGTTTTACATGAATTAAAACAATTCAATAATTTGATAAAAATAATTAAAGAAATTCAATACTTAGTGAAAAATTGCTTTTTCTTTTCTAGTTTTATATTAAATCTAAATATTATTTTTTATTTTTTATTATAATTATAGTTTTATTTTTATTTTTATTATGAGAAATAGGAGGCCTCGCGAATTCAGATTGTTTATATAGGTATACGATTGATCGAACGATGGATTTTCATTGTTATAATTTTTTTATTTACAAGAATGTGATACCATGTATAATTTTCTTTTCATGAATTCTTTTTAATTTCATCAACAATATCATATAAATATTTAATTTTTTTCTTCCAAATTTTTTACAAATGCGTATAAACATGATTATTAGTTTGTGGATCCTACGTTATTAAATTATCCAATCCGAAGTACAAATAATTTAGCTATAATAATCAATTCTTTATTTCTTTCTAAATATACATATTTTTTTTTCTGTTTATATGGGATCTTTATTAACGTTCTAAGCAATATTACAGATTTCCTTTTCTTTTTTTTTGTTTTTAACACATAATATCAATTACAATAAAAAATTTTGTAAAAATATACGCGAATAAAATATAATAACCTTTTATTTTTATTAAACAATTAAATAATAAAATTAAAATACAACCCATTACAAGAATATTTTAAAATCTTGACATTTTATATTATTATTATTATTACAATAAGCATTGATACATAACTAACTTAGAAATAATTAAACACAGAAAATAATTGTAAAATCCCTTTTCCGCATGTAAAAGAATAAATACTTACTCGATAATAAAGTTCTTCTCGCCTTTTTTTTTTTTTGAAAACTCTCAATTCCAGGAATCCTTCTTTGGTGAAAACTACGAACACTTATGCACAGGAAAATGAAGAGGAATCGAGAAGATACTAGTAGCACAGCTAAAAAATACTTTGGCACTCATGAAGGCAATATACACAAGTATATATGTTACACTTCTTCATGCAACAGGCGTCAAGGCATCCCAGTTCCTCCTCACTTTGGCACTCACATCTTCCATTGTGATAAAAGTATAATCAAGATCCTAAGCATCACACGGGCACTCATGTTACGTAGTAATCGAGAATACTGTTAGCACAAATAGAAAATACTTTGGCACTCATGAAAACAATACACACAAGTATATATTGCTTCACTTTGGCACTCATATTCACATTTGCACTAACAGTATTAAACACAAGCACTCGTATATGTAGTGTGGATATGAAAAAGAAATGAGAATAGTTAGACAACAGATTATAGTAAAGGGAGAAAATTAAAAAAAAATAACCGACAAATGAATAACTTATTTTTCCACGGTTATTTATTTATGAAATCATGAAAATATAGTCAAAGGTATACTAAAAGAAGAGAAATTGTAATATTATTATTTAAACTTAGAGAGCAAAAAGAATTAAAAAGCGAAAAAGGGAAAGAATAATAATAAATCATTTTCGCTCTTGTTATTTTATTGTTAAGAAAGAAAAGGTTAAGAATGAAAAGTTGAAAAAGGACGCGTATATATATAATGAAATTTTGTCACGTGATTGATATTCATAATTGAAATGCTCATATATTTGAATCGACATTAAAAAATAAAAAATAACCATTGTAAAATTATTTATTATTTTTATTTATTGTACATTATTAAAAGAAAAATTATGTATAAGGATTATGTAATGAAATGAAAAAAAATGGTGTTTTTAATATCACATCATCTTTATCCCATGAATTATTGCTTTCAATACCCTAGCGTGTCGTTCCTCTTTTTCGCGTTCTGTTTGATTGTCCAAAGCTCTATCACCCACACCTTCATCTAAAGTACTATCACCATTCTTGGCTGCAGCTTTCAATAGATAAACGAAATCACAATGAGTTGTTATTGGGATACCTGACCTCACAGTTAAAGTATCTTGTAATCGAGAAGTTTGTTCAAATTTCGCGGCAATCATTTCTGCACGATCAACGATCTGACGAGGAATTCCGGCCATGTTAGCTACATTCATTCCATAAGATTTTGGACAAACTCCAGATATTAATTTGTATAAGAAGGTCACTTCTTTTCGATCTTGATCAATTTCACAACTCATATGCTTAAGTGCGATATTAGGATTCTTGGAAAATTCTTGAGTAAGCATACCATAATGCGTAGAAAATAGACCGAGACAACCAATGTGAGTTGCTAAATAATGCAAAACTGAGTATGCGATGGCATATCCATCAAATGTTGAAGTTCCACGTCCAAGTTCATCAAGAATAACCATAGATCTTGGTGTCGCTTCGTGCAAAATTTTGGACGTTTCACTTAATTCTACCATGAAAGTACTTTGACCAGCTAGAATATTATCATTAGCGCCGATTCGTGTGTAAATTCTATCGAAAGGTGTCATAAGACATCTTTTAGCAGGAACGTAGCAACCAAGTTGAGCCATAATGATTGCAACACAATTCTAAAGAATCAAATATTTAAAGTTAAATTTTTTTTTATTCAAAAATTTTGAGATCATTTCTAAAATCATTAAAAGATTACCTGTCTTAAAAGTGTAGATTTACCACCCATATTAGGGCCCGTCAATAGTATAATATTTGGTTGATCGCCGCCCAAAAAAGTATCATTAGGTATAAAATCGTTGACGATACTTTTATTGTTTAATGTAAATAATTCATATATAAATAAAAATATCAATAATAAATTTCAATAAAATCTAAATTAAGATGAAGTTTTCACAAAAGTAATATTCAAAAAATGAACTTACCCGGATACGATACAAGGATGTCTAAGCTCTTCAAATTCTAATATACTAGGACCTTGCCTTATAAACTGAGGCCGACAACAAGGTTCTGTAATGGATCATCATAAAAAAAATATCTTTTAATCGAATGCTTTGACGTATTATAAATTAACTTCCGAATATTTTAATTTCGTAATTAATTTACCACCCAATGCCAAAGAGCTATTGGCCAAACTTAGAAGACAGTCGAGTTCGGAAATAATTTTGACCGCAAGCAACCACTCGTGATAATGAGCATCGAATTTTTCGTAAAATGAACCGTTCAAGGATTTTAAAACATTAGATTCTACTTCTAGAGCTTCTTGTAAATCTCTAACAAGTTTCTGAAGAGTTGGATTCCAATAGCGATTGACTTTCTAAAAATAATTAACAGAAAATAAAAATTTTTGAAACGATAATAAATAAACGTGTATATTATTATTATTTTTTTATTATTATCATTTTATTACCTGCGTGCGGGATAATTTTTTCCAATCTGAAGGTACTTTTATTGAATTTGGGACTTCAAGTTGATAAATTTCTTTTCCAACATCCTTGTATATAATCTTCGTTGTTCTGATAAATAATTTATCGAATTTATCAATATTCATTTGTCAGAATAATCGAGAAGATTTCTCGATTGCTTACCTTAATTGATTATTTGCCTCAGCCAAGTGTTGGGCTAATTTCTCATCAATATCCTTAAGCTTAGTTTTTATATCATCGTAATCGTTGTCAATACCAGGATAAGGAATTAGATTTCCTATAAAATAATCAGCAACAGTGAAAAGTATTTTTATTAAACTAGTTACATAAGATATTCTCATGATTCTCATTTTTACCTTCATTTTCCGCTTTTCCGTGATCGAATGCTTCTTTGAAGTATAAAAGCATAGGTGTCAAGTTGGGAATCGTTTCAAACAATTTAAGCAATTTTTCCGATTTAAATTTCTGCGCAAAGCCACCAAGATGTGAAACTGTTTTCTATAATGCGAAAATATAAATAAATCAAATCCTTATTGAACAATGTTAAATATTAAACTAATTAAAGTAATTAATAAGTTCAAACCATTAAATTCTCGAACGCCGTCAAAACGAGTAAGAACTCTTTCACTTTACAAGTTTTTGCATGAATTCTACTTATTAATCGTTCAAGGTCCGGAAATTGAGAAAAGCTTGCATAGAATGAATCCCGAAATTCAGGAACCGAGTTTAATTCCTCTACTGCATCCAAACGTGCATTAATGGCATCAATGTCGCGAAGCGGATGACATAACCATTTTTTAAAAGTTCGTTTGCCTGGTTTACAACGCCAAAATTTCAGACTTTGAGATCATATATTAAATTATATCAAGTGCTAATAATAATAACAATTGGCCATCTTACCGAATGGAGTAGCACAATGATTTAATAACTTGAATACCGTTCCTTGATCACTGCCATCTACGCTATTCTCGAATACTTCTAGATTTGCCAAAGATTGACCGTCGAGAATGAGAGAAGAACAGTGACGAATGGGATCATAGATATGAAAGTTTTTGAGAGATACAAGTTCTGCGTCAAGTTTCAACTATTAAATAAATATTAGGGAATAGGTTATAAACAATTCATGATATAATCGCTCATTAACAAATTAAAATATATGCATCTTACCGAGCGTAAATACCAAATGAGACCTATAAACATCAAAATAAGATTATTTAGAATTGGACAATAATTTATTTATATTTAATATTTAAATTGTACTTACCACCCAAAGCAGACATCATTAATGGCTTTTTCATAGCTTCTTTTATTGCGCTAGGCCACGTGTCTAATTTAGACATCAAATTTATTATTATTTATTATTATTATTATTATTAAAGAAAATTATTTCTTTATGATCACAAAGAACAACTTCATACTAACCGTAAGGATCTTCACTTTCCGAATTTTCCATTATTTCATCGTCGTTATTGTTTTCCATAATAACATCTTCTTCCTCTTCTTGACCAAATGATTTCTTACCATTTTTTGAAAAGTATCGAGAAAATCTAATTTCGTCATGAGTTGTAGTGGCATCCCAAAACTCTACATCTGGTTTAAGTGCCGTCCAAATTGTGCGACTGGTACAATTTTTCAATATACGCATTGTTCGTTGACTAAGCCTTCCCTAATTATAAAAATCACGAAAATATTTAGAGATGTATTCTTATCACAAAAATCACGTAAATATTTAGACAAAATTTACTTTTTCATAGACAATTTCTCTCGGCTTCACTTGCATAATCAAGGTTTCAAATTGGGTTCGATCCAAATCATCATTAAAAGATGTTATATGAAATTCTGCAGTTGCGGTATCAACAAAGCAGATTCCAAAGGTAGGAGATTCATTTTCTGTATTGCAAGATTCCTATATAAGAAAAAAGGATCATTAAAACCATTGCATAAAACAATACGTAATAACATGCGAAAATGAAGTATTATTGAAGATATGATAATGAAAAAAATTAAAACCTTAATTGACATGCAAAAAGTTGACATTTCATTCGTCAATAGTCCGCCGTCAACTATAGTTCCAGCGGTGAGAATAGATGTTAACTCACGACGAATGATTTTTTCTTCCTATAATAGTATGAAGAAATATTAAAATTGAATTAACTTTAATTAAAACATTCGACAAAAAAAAAAAAGACAGCTATATTTCATACCTTTTTCTTACTGGATTTCTCACGCATTTCTTTTCCTATAGCTGTTTCCATTTGATCAACTCTCGCAACTTTATATCTATTTAATAAAATAAATAAATAAATATAGAAATACTTTATATAATTTTACATTCTCTAATGACATATTATAATGTGTTAAAGTAATTTTTTTGAATCATACCCTTTGGCAATAAATTGTGCAGCCCAAGACTCAAATGACATCTCAGGAACACCAACCATGCGCATATTGACACGATCAGTAAGCTTAAGATCGAATTCCGAATGACCAATGTCGGCATCGCGCTCATATAACTCTTCAAAAATGATTAGAGATTTCAATTAAATCTTTATTTTTGATGATAATTTATAAAAAGGTTAGAATTTTTGTATATACCATAAAATTTCCCTTTCTTGAAAAATACGATCTAGTATTTGGTAAATAAATCAGTTTAAAAAAAAATTGACCCGAATTTAGTGTACAATATATATATTTAATGTACAAATTATATCAATATATATATTTAATATACAAATTAAACGTACTGTATCCCAATGCTTTGATTTAATTTCCCAAAATTGCTTCTCAAAAGGAGTAAATTTATTCCAGGCGGATTTAGGAATATGTAATGTTCTTGGATCATAATTCGGCGATCCTTTTTTTTTGAGGAACACAGATTATTACCTCAATTAAATTACGTTACACACATAAATCTTGGTTAAGAGAATTTAAAAAAAAAACCTTCTGGATTTTTATCTGCATCTTTGACATCCAGCAACCAACTATAACGTTCATCATTTTTTGTCTTAAAATCAGCTACACGTTGCTGAAATTTAACCAAGAAATTAACTTTTATTAATTAATTAATTGACCAAAAATTTTATTAAATATATTACCTTTTTTTTCTCAGAATCAGTCATAAGAACTGAAGAAGAGACAGGTAAATCTCGTCGAATAGTTGAACTAGAAGCAAATTCCTAAATTGGTAATTTTTTTTATTTTATTTTATTTTTGATAACTCGTCAAAAAAACTAATGAAATTAATAAATCTATAGGCAAAAAAAAAATTATAATACATGCCTTTAATTTATTCTGAGAATTGGTTAAAGAAACTCTTTTATTTTGTTGTTTTGCATTAGTCTGTTTAAAATTATCATCTAAATTGAAATTGAAATTGAAATTGAAATTATTGAAATTGAAATTGAAATTTGAAAATGCTGAATAACATTTTTATATATGATATTTGTAAAATATTATTACCAGAGTTTTCCTCATCTATATCCATATCGATATCATGATCAAGTTCATCATTTTTTAATCTTTTATTACCCGATATTTTATTTTGTGCCTTTGGCTTATCTGCAATAAATTACGCGAAAATATATATATATATATATAAACTAAATTGAAAATCTTTTAGTAGAGATTATTTGTAGCCTACTTGGCGATTCATCTGTTTCTTCATAATCATCATCATCATCTGATGAAACAATAATTCTGCGTTTAATCCTTCCCTAAAATTAAAACGTGACAAAACCAGTTATTGCAAAATGTATGAAAAAAATGTTCCTAAATATATTTCTAGAACTATAGATTTTTATTTGTCAAAGTAACAAACCCTTGAACTCCTTTTTTCAAGGCTTGGCTCTTCAAACTCTTCGGTTAAGCTTGAACTTTCTCTCTCCAAGACTTGACTCGAGTTGGATCCTTTTGAACTCGGAGTAATAGGACTTACAGGTTCTTGTGTTCTAAAATCATTTTTTGTTATTTTTCTATCTCCACTAGAACTGGGAGTTGGTAAGCCCTTTTGGAGAAAAGATAAAAGGGACGTTTGTATCTTAACAGGTGTCGTCGAAGTCCTACTGGGCTGTTTACTCGCGTTACTGGAGCTCGCATGACTCGATTGCGCATCATTATATTCTTCTGCGAGTGGCATTTTTTTTTTCTTTATATTCGCGCAAACCCTTTTTTTCTTTTTTCTTTTTTTTTGAAAACGCAAAAACGATAACGTGTATGTCGCGTTGTCTCCTCAATTAACTATAATCTTTTGGTCACATGATAATTAGGAATTGATGTAGAACAAATGGTGATTATCAGTAGATGACGTAGAAATCGCTGCGTTACCGTATATCGCGGGCATAGTAGTACTATGGCCGCGATATACGGCATATAAACTATAATAGATTTCTTTTTTTTTTTATCAATTACTGTTGCTTGTCTTTTTTTTCATCGCAAAAATTTCTTCCTTTTGCTTATCTTTACTTTTTTTTTTATATCAAAATGTTTTTTAATCTTGTTTCATTTGCTATAACCACGTTCATTGCCTATTCGGCTTTGAAAAAGTTCCAGCAAAAGAAACAACAACAGCAACCAAATTTAAAAGACTTTAAAAAGTTATCAACTTTAGGCACTGGAGCGTACGGTCGTGTTCGCTTATGTTCATATAATAACAATTATTACGCGATGAAAGTGCTTAAAAAATCAAAAATTGTCAAATATGGTCAAGTTGAGCATACAATTACTGAAAAAAATTTATTAAGGGATTTTCAAAATCCCTTCATTGTGAAATTATTTTGGTCTTTTAAGGACAAATATCAACTGTACATGATCCAGGAGTTCGTTATGGGGGGTGAAATATATACACATTTAACGAATTCGCGAAGATTCAAAGTTCCCGTCGCTAGATTTTATGCAGCGGAAGTCTTATTGGCACTTGAATTCTTGCACGAAAATGGGTTCATCTATAGAGATCTTAAGCCCGAAAATGTATTATTAGATATAAATGGGCATGTAAAACTTATAGATTTCGGGTTTTCTAAAAGAATCTATAATGAAAGGTAAAGTAATTTAAATTATTTATATTTTAATTATTTTAAAAATATTTATTTAAAAAATATCCCTTTTTTTTTTTTTTAGGACTGTCACTTTTTGTGGTACACCTGAATACTTAGCACCCGAAATCATATTAAAAAAAGAATATGGGTATGCAGCTGAATGGTGGGCCTACGGAATTTTCATTTATGAAATTTTAATTGGGTAAGTTTATAAAAGATTATAAAAATAAATATTATATATTTAATAATAATGATAATAAATAATTTTATTTATTTTAGGAATCCTCCGTTTCGTGGTGATTCGTCACTCGAAACGTATAATTTGATTTTAGAAGGAAGTTTGAAACTTCCTTCAAATTTCAGTCGTGGCACGAAAACAATTATAAAAAAATTGTTAAAGGTAAATGAAACTGAAAGGTTGAATAATGCCCGAGACATTAAAAATGAAAAATTTTTTAATGAAATTGATTGGAATAAACTATATAACAAAGAAATTGAAGCTCCCATTCGGCCTTTTGTTAAAGATCCGGGAGATACTAGTAATTATGGGAAATATTCGGAAGGTGAAGATGAAGTATTGGATATCACAGAGGAATATGATGATATTTTTGAAGATTTTTAAGGGATTGAATCTACTAACTTTCGGTTCTAATCGATACTTGCCATACTCTTTATGTTCAAATAATCTGTTTATGTTGTTTATATTCATCACATACTAATAATTCGCTTATTTTCTTTACTCGTGCAATCAGTCGCTTCACTAATTAATTGCGTTCGCATTCACTAACTCCTTCCCATATATATATAAATCTTGCAATCATCTAATCATGTATATAACTTTGATAAATAAATTTGATATAGAAATTTATAACAATTATTTTTTTTATAATGAAAATCAAGATTCAGAAGAAAAATTATTACAGCGTTTCATCAAACAAATATAAACTACTAATCATAATCTAGTAATTATCTAACAATTTGATGTTCTGGTAAAGGTAAATCAACTTTTAAATAATTTTCCTTCTAAATAAAATCTTTTCCTTCATCATCACCAAAATGAAACTCTGGTTTTTCCACTTGAGGTAAAGTTTCAGTTAAATTTTTCTTATAAAATTTCTCCCCAATATTTTTTTTCATTTTAAAAGTAAAATCTATTCACATTATTTAATAACATTTAAAATATCTTTGTAAATATTAATTAAATCTTACATTATCAAATAAAATTATACCTTTAATTCTATCATTCTTTTAAAATTTATCTCACGATTTTTCCTTGTTATATATTTATCAAATTTTGACCCATAAAAAACTTGCGTAAATAATACAATTGTAAATCCAAAAGGAAATTAATAACAGAACCACGAAAATTGAACATACGGATTTTTGTTTTTATGAATGCCCATGCTCCCAATATTGTCCAATTTCCTCCATATAAAAAACAATTATTTCGCTACAGTATTTATATATTAAATGAGCAATTTTGTTATTCATATCATTCCTTACATATATTGATCGTGACAATAATTTTAGTTATACAATATTTATATTAATCCATTAAAGAAAGTCTAGTTTTTAGAATCGAAAATAATCGAACGTTTTTTGTCTTCTCGAGATATAATTGTAAAATTTATTTTATTTTTGATTTTTTCTTAAAATTGTAATCGAACATATGTCATCTGTTCATTGTCTTCATCTAATGAAATAATAAGTCTGCGTTTAATCCTTCCCTAAAATTAAATGGATTAAACTTTCCCTTTTCAAATTGGATCCTTTTGAATTTGGAGTAATAGGACTTATGGTTTTGTTCCAGAACTGGGCATTTTTTCTTAAAATAAACTGTGCAATCCCTTTTTTTCAAAAACGATAACGTATTTCTGTCTTCTTTTAAAAATTAAATTACTCAGCACCTTCGTAGGAGCATTTTTCCATCTCATTTAATTACCCATCGAGCACTATTTCTTCAGTCTCCGAATCTAACGCTAAGAAATTTGAAAACCGACTTATTTCAATCGTTACTTTTGAGACCTTACGAACTCTTCGCCTTCCCACAACACATCTCCGGAAGATCCTACTGCGTCATTTTATCTGAATCTTAAAAAAGTTGTTATGCATTTTTTCATTATTTGTAGACTAACCTTTGGGAAAATAATTATAAGTGGCATTGCTCTTATATCAGGGGATCTCCTATATGCTTGGTATCGGAACAGACGAAATGAATGTCTCCTCAACGAAACTTTAGAAATATGTTGAAATTCCTTCAGATGCAAATTCTAATGAGTTTGGACAAGTATTAGGAAAAGCCCTTAACTTTACATTTGAAGAACATATCTCTTTCACAAAACAAATGGCACGGAAATTCTTTGATCTAAAAACTAAAGGTAAAGTTATTTTTAATGCTTTATTATTATAAATATATACATTTTTTAATTCTGATTCATATCTTATAGATACATCAAATATTCCAAAGTGGAAAAGAACTAAAGATGCCTTTAGCCGCGCTTCTCTATTGTACAGGGCAGACCACTGTTTTCATTTATAATAATATTAATCAATTGATTGACAATTATCCAAAAATCATTGATGCCCTTCAGGACAATTCCAAAGATAATGCCGATAATATAATATACATTGTTATATTTGTCAGTAGCGAAGGTTCATTTCCCCAAAGAAAAAATACGAATTACAGATTGATATTCTTTATTTTAGCTCGTCTCAGTTCTTGGTCATGTGTAGACGAACCAGTAATAAAAATTGGTGACCTTAGTAGAGAAGAATCAATGGAATATTTGGTCAAAAAACGTAAGATCAAAAAAGAAGTTGGTGGACGCATTTTGGGTGGTCAAAAGTCACCAGACAGTTGAAAATTTTTAAAAAAATTACTAAATTTAAAATGCCATTTGTGCCACAATGAGTGATCCAAACTTTTTTTTATTAGATTGATATATTTTTTTGTTAAAATTAATACCCACACGTAGAGAAATTATACTTCAAATAAAATTGACAAAAAACAATAAATTTAATCTTTAATCGTTGTCCGTACCGGAATCGAAGGATTTTAAAGATAGATGCCAACTATCTTATATGGAATTGTAGCCAGAAACAATATCTATAATTTTAATTAGAAGCGTTTTTCATAGTATCTAGTGAAAATTTAGATTTTATTTAGACGTGAATAAAAGCGACCGAAATTTATAAAAATTTTAAAAAAATAAAAAAAAATCCGAAAATAATTATCAATCGTTTCTATATATAAAAGTTTTTTATTTAATAAAGTAGTAATAAAATTAATACTAATTAACATTAAAGCTTAGAATATGTGGTATCTTTTCTGAAGTATTCAGGAATATTTAATCAAAATTGAACGAATGATAGCGATTAAATTCCAGAGAATAATTTTTAGACATCCGATATTCAGTCGTTGATATTAAATTTAATTCGTAAGTAAAAATTTAAAAACTTTACAAATGATGTTATAAGATTAATTAGTAACATATTTGTCGTTTATTTTTAACCATCGGGGTCTTGTTAGACACTTTATTATTGTCGTTTATTAATAAATAATGGACTTTAATATGTAGTAACGTTTGATCGATTTTTTTAATATCAAAGATAAAATGATCGACAATAAATTTGCCCACCGCGCAAATTTCTAAGGCGATCATTTTACTGTTGAATTCAAAAAAATAACTATCAAACGTTACTACATATAAATATTCATAATTTAATAATAAAACAGCAAATATATTACTAGTTAATCTTATAACTAAGAATATGGAGAATTGTTGAAGAAGTTTTTAGAATTTTTTCTTGCGAATTAAATTTAATTTCAACGACTGAATATCGGACGTCTAAAAATTATTCTCTGGAATTTAGTCGCTCATTATTCGTTCAATTTTGATTAAATATTCCTGAATACTTCAGAAAAGATGCTACATATTCTAAGCTTTAATGTTAATTAGTGTTAATTTTATTACTACTTTATTAAATAAAAAACTTTTATATATAG